CCGACACAAATTTTTTGGCTGAAATCAAATTTGTGATACAATTACGGCTGAAAGTTTTTTTGTGCCTGATGTTCCTAGTACTTCCTCCTCATGAGTTTATTTGCAATTGATTTCCGTGAACAAATTTATTTAGCAAGAAAATTATCCCCGTATTTTCTAACAAACGATTTGCAGACGAAACCCTCTCAAAGGATTAAATAAAAACTGATCTGTCAATAAATTATCTATAATGAATTTATTATTTAAATTTAAGTTAACATAATTTAATAACTTATTAAGTCTCAAAATTAAATCCCCATAAATTAAATATTTAATAATCTTAAATAACATCTGATGTATGAGATTGCATTGTGTGTAAATTAAATAATTATATTTGATCTTAAAAAATTCGTTTACTTTTAAATAATAAGTTTACTTTTTATATTTTTATAAGTTATAATATCTTTAAAAAAAAAACAGTAAGTAGCCCGTGTTAACGCTCCAGACTTTGCCAAGGAAGCCTATTGGTTGCGGGCACTTCGTAAATATCAAAAGGCGAGGTTCAATGCGAGTACCGAACAGTTCGTATTCTCAGCAGGAAGCTTGCACCACCTCGTAGGCGCTGAGCGCGGTATAAGGTAAGAGGTGAGTCGCAGGCATGTGCGCGGAGAGTGGCGATTTTGTCGAAATTAGTTGTTTTCTTGTAGTAGAACCTTCTGATTTATCCATATAAAATTTTTTTCTTCTAAATTTTCATTTAAGAAGGCATATTTCATATCTATCTGATAAATTTGTAATTTAAATAGTAAAACCAAAGCAATAAGAGTTCTAATAGAAGCAATTCTAGCAATATGAGAATAAGTATCAAAATAATTCAAATCTTTCATTTAAGTATACCCTTTAGTCACCAACCTAAATTTATATTTTTCAATTAATCCCTTTGACTTGAGCTTTTTCCTAAATATCCATTTACATATCCAATAGGAGGTAAATATACTATCTGTCAAGTATGGTTTGATATAAGAGAATCCATTTCAACTTGAATGGCTTCCTTCCAAAAATTATCAACTAATGAAGTCATTGTTTTAGAATAAGTTAAGTGGTCATTATCTATTAAGAATGTGTAAAAGTCATCTCCAAAGTTTGTCTCATTTTTCTTTCTTTTACTTCAAGATTCTGAAAGAGGAGCATCTTTATTATTAAAATCAACTAAAATAGGTTTATCTATAGATAATTTCATAGAAATATATCCTCAAAAAACTCTGCATTTTTAATTTCTATAACAATATTATATTCTATAACATTACTCTTAAGAATCATAAATCTATATGTTGTACTATTTTATGCATATCCTATGAAAATACATTATTGAACTCAATTTTCTTTTCTTGCGATCTAGAAGAAGAACCTTAGCAAGACACCCCCACACTTTTTTAATATTTTAGATTGGTATTCTATTCTGCCAAAATTCAAAGGATGTCTTAACAAAATTTTTAAAAATAATTCTATATATCTTATAAATGACATGCATATAAAATAGCTTCACCTCATAGATAATCAAGAGCATGACCTGAACTAATGAGCATAACATTCATCATTTTTTTAAGATTCTATTTTTTCATTCAACTATATTATTAGATTCAAGAGAATAAGGTGGAGTTACCTCATGAATAATATCATTAGCTTAACAAAAAGAACTAAGAATATCTTAGCCCTATTCTCCTCCTCTATTGATTTTAAGTCTCTTGATTTTTTGTTCTAGTTTATTTTCTACTTCAGCTTTATATTTCATGAATTTTGATTCAGTCTCATCATTATATCTAAATAAATATACATATGTGTATCTAAAAAAATTATCAATAAATATCACATAATACCTCTTTACACTTTTAAATATATTATTTTTCATATTACCTAAATCAAAATGAATTAAATATAGTATTTCAAATTCTCTATTCATTATAGATTTACATACTTTCTTTGTTGATTAGCCTCTACATAAATGGGACACTTGTCAAATTAGAAATGTATATATTTTGTAATATTCATAATTCATGCATTTTCTTGATATAAAAAAATTAAAATGCCCCAATCTCCTATACCATAAATCCATACACTAAGTAAGTAGAAGAAGATCATTGCTCACATAACATTTTCCCACAAAGTTATCATTTTTTGTTAATAGTGTTTTATTACTATCAGATAATAATTTTAACACCAATTTTTTTAAGTAAAGAGATAGAAACCAAATTATATCTAATTTGCAGTACATGTAAAACATTAAAGAGTGTAAGAATTTTTTCTGATGTAAGCTTGATGTTAACATTTCCTTTTCCAACAATCTTTGCAACACCAGAATCTCCCGTTAAAACTTGTTATTCTTCTTCACCAAGACTAGTATAGGAGGAGAATAAATTTTTATTTGCACATATATATAATGAGTGGCTCCAGAATCTATGACCCATACTTTTTCTTCAACAAGATTAACTTCTGAGTTACAACAATAATAAAATGATTGGTCTCTGTAATGTTGACATTTAATTTATCGTTCAATTTCTGTGCCTACACTGTCTAGCAAAATGACCTAGTTTTCCACAAACAAAATAAGCAATTTCTTTCTTTTGTTTATTTCCTTTGACTTTAAAATTTTTATTTCCTTGTTTTTATTTATAGAGAGATTTTTTTTTGTTGTCCCTATTCTTATTCCCC